ACAAATGAGAAGTATAAATACGAGTAAAAAATAACAAGTGATGATGAAAGCAAAAAAAAAAAACGATTATTTGTTGTATAAGAAACAAATATTAAAGTAAGGCCCAAAATACCGAGTGAGACAGGCCAAGGTTATGTCAGATAAGTCCACACCTAATTAAAGCCCAATATCAAAGGCTGATTGGGTTAAGTTGAATAAGAAAAGGTTGAGCTGTATCGGGCCCGTATAAGAAAATGTAATATGAGCCTTTATGGCAACTAGTATAAGATGGCTCTTTTTCTTATCTTACATTTCTACTCTTTATAAAAATAAAAAATCTTTATTCATTGATGTATTTTAATAGAGTTTAAATCTAAACACAATTCACTGTTATTCAATTGATGATTCTGATTTCTATTTTAAAATCTAGTATTATTCATTGAATGATTTAAATCCAGTATTTAAAATCTAGTGTTATTCATTGAATGATTTAAATCCTGTATTTAAAATCTAGTGTTATTCAACTTTTAAGGATTTTAAAATTCTTTGTATTTTGGATTGATTTCAAATCATCTCTTGTGAATTTTTATGAACAAATGAATGAATTCAAAATCTAAGGCCTACTGCAGAGATTTCAAAATTTATCAACTTAAAATTTCTTAAAATTTTAAAATTTGATAGATTATAAAACATTAATCATTGATTTGAAATCACTGATTGAATAACACCCCCTTAGGACTAAAATCCAAATTCACAAGAGATGATTTGAAATCAATCCAAAATACAAAGAATTTTAAAATCATTAAAAGTTGAATAACACTAGATTTTAAATACTAGATTTAAATCATTCAATGAATAACACTAGATTTTAAATACTGGATTGAAATCATTCAATGAATAACACTAGATTTTAAAATAGAAATCAGAATCATCAATTGAATAACAATTGATTGTGTTTAGATTTAAACTCTATTAAAATACATCAATCAATAATACCACCTTAATGATTTTTAGTTATGAAGAAAAACTCTAAATCAACTTTCTCGATTTTCATTAATTTTTAATAATAACGTACGTCAAGGTCACAATTCGTTTTATTACGTTAGCAATTCCTCCTTAAATGTATTATACCGAATAATATTTTATAATCGCTTAAAGTATACAATTATTTGTCATTGTGGTGTCAGCTGACCGATGTAGTCCAGATTTTTTTTGTCTTTCTTTACGTGACATAGACTCGATGAATGTGTAGTCAACATTTATATTGCAGAGAATAAATAAACTTTAGTTTTGTCTTCCACTTATTGTATAAGCTCTCTCACCCGCACCTATTACCTATACAATCCCTAACTCCAATCATCGGGGCACAAACTAGAGACCTGCTATCATGTGAACGTATAGTAGAGCAAACCAGTTTAAGACTTCTTAACCGAAACTAAAACCAAAATAGATTCCGGTTAGAGAGAGATGAATTGACAAAAAGGAAAAGATACAATAATGAAAAAATGGGGTGGGTCTGGGTGGGAAGACATGGGAATCACTATCAACAAAAAGAGAAGCAGAGAAAAGATTTGTGGGGGCAAATGACTAGTGCATAAGTGTGCCTTTGAGACTGTGACATTTTTGGCAACTCATGCGTGAAGATGTTTCTTGCCCATTGTTTCTTCTTCGAACATGATTTACGATGTGTATATATCTATTTTTAGGGTTCTTTTTTGCGTCTATCATTGTAATTTTTCCAAACCAAGTGGTGCTCCACGTATAGTAATCTAGGTTGTCATATTGATTGAAGACAAAACTCAAGACATTGACCAGAACATGGTTAATCCTTTTCCATGTGATTTTTCATGTAAATTGGAAACCAGAACTATTAGGTGCTTATTTCAACAGTTTAGTAGTAGTGTGGCATTGCGCTGTCATACAACACACAACATGAATATGTTAGTAATGAGTTAATGACAAAACAAGATACAGGTTTGTTACATTTCAAGTTTTTTTCTCTCTGTATATTGTATACTATATATACAAAGTAACTTAGACATTCGTTATAACAAAAATAAAACACACTTAGACATTCGATGAAGTTCGTAATCTAGTGGTGTTATTAGTATCGTCAATTGTGACAGTATAGATTTAAATCTACTACAATGTGTGCCTAAGGTGTAGATGATTTAACAATGTAATATAGACACATGTTATAGTAATACTATGCAGTAAGCAAATTATAATGCCGGGAGGTTAAATAAAATCATAACATTAAACATATAAGTGTACAATATGTATGCAAGCAAATAACTGTAACTACTTAAACAGTCATAAAAAATATGGCATACAATTCTGGGCTATGAATTCCATATGATTATAGTTGGAACTTGGAAGCGCCTAAAATTAGGTTCGATTGTTAATTCGTTCTTTCCAGATGTTAATTTCACTGTGCATGCAATTTAGGTTATTTGATAATGAGCTCCAGACTTATGTCATGTGAGTTTACGAGAAATTCATTACAGAAAAAAAAACATTTCTAAAACATACTCGTACAAATGGAAACAGTCGCATTGTAAGAAAAAGAGAACTACGTTTAAAGCAACCATTGAAAGAACCGTACACTGTCACTAGATGACAACCAATTTTTTCCAATTTAAAAGTGATAAAACCCTAGAAAACGTCAGCCAATGTCGATGCCACTTAATTTCTTATACAGATTTTTGGATAGATGTAATGGAATCTTAAACAGTACCCAATCTATGTATTTGTATAATTACTATAGACGCACAGTGTACCTTTACATATACCTTTTTATACTTGGCGTCTTTCTTTCTTTTTATATGATCTTCTAAAGTTTCTCGAGGGAGCAGCGCAACTGTTTATATTTTTACCTTATAAAATTTTGATTTAGATCCACAACATAAATGGAAATATCAGATCACTCTTCATTGACCCAGTTCTAGTATGTTACACACTGCACACACACGCATGTGTGGCGCAAGTGGTGAGGAACGGGGTCACGTGTCCCCATCTAATTTTTGTTTTCCTTCAGTAATTACTATCAATTTAAGAAATGTTCCATAATTCTATAGATGACATAATGAAATATAATGTTGTGCCCCATCTGAATAAGATGCTGCATCCGCGCCTGCACACACATGCACATAAATGTAGTTAAGAGAGTAAGAGCACGGAGTATTTATTGACTTCTTGATGTTTTGTCTGGTAAATTCGAATTTCTCAGTATATCGTTCACCTGATGTACATGCGAAGATGATTAACTTATTATATGAAGATAAATCAGATCGATATAAGTATGCAACGATTTAACAAGGTATGTATTAGATTTAATTATTCGGAAGAACGAATACATGCTAAACGCTGAAAATAATATTAAAATATGCTTATCCCAAACAGTTAAATTTGACAGATTGAGAAATAATTGTGTATATATATGCCAACAGAGGACTCAACACATCACATGCTCTCTCTTTTATTTCCTTCCTGCTTCTCTTCACCTTCAGTCGATCACATAGTAGTTACGTAGTTTAGTTTCCTTTAGTTATCTAGAGTTAAAGAACGTCAATGCATTATTGATGGACAAACCTTCAATTGTTTTGACTAGACTACATACCTTGAAACTATGCTCGGCTACACTATATATACCACAAAGAATAATACTTAGTGTCATAAAAATACTTGTGTATACATAGAGTGTTACTACTTACAACATATAATTTAGTGCTCTGGAAATTTTTGTTCTCAACGTTGACTCTCAAAGTGTTTACCTATACTATATATAGCTTTTAAATTTGTATATGCATGATAGCTATTATAGATAATGATCAATTGTCACAAAGTCTAATTAATGTAAAGAAAGAAGAAGATATGTCGAATTTAAAAAGATAGGTAAAATAGAGTGGTTAGTGAGTCATAACCTATTACCTAGCCTTCATGAACCAATAAGGGACATAGGTGCTCCTCTACTTTACATCTTGCTCAATTATATTTCCGTTATATTATTATTATATTGCATATCATTATAAACATGCAAGGACTAATGTCTTAATCTATCATTAAATCAGGCTTTAATGGGATTTTAGAGAACATTATTATGCATGCAATGTATTTGGGAGAAAAAACAAGAACCCTAAGTAGAGAGTATATTTAGGCATTTACAAATTAGTAGTGACATTTTTTTACCGCTACGACAAAAGTGAAAATTCAAAAAAAATACCTTTCTTTTTATTACGTTATGTTGGGTAATATTTTACACTTATATTATAAATACCCAATATGTATCATAAATATGTGTCTGGTGGTTAAATTTCACTTATTTAGTAATTTTGTAATTGTTTGTGCAAACTTCTTACGAAATTCATATATTATTCTTAAAAATTCATATTGAATGAATGATAAAAAAAAATTGTAACTTGTGATTTATATTTGTAATATTGGTATGATCACATCATTCGAAATCAAATATGGTAACATGAGTGTACGGAAAATTAATTCTAAAAGCATAAACAATCTAATGTATTTGAAAATATCTAATACTACAATTTACATCGAAAAAGCAAAAGTATTTATGATACAAAATCTAGATTTCAAAAACCTACTTCAGTTTGATGGCAACAGAAAAGAGTGAACCCTACCAGGCATATATATAGAAAAAAACAACATCACTCGCTATCAACAAAAATCGATTCTAGAGAATCGAGCAAGTTGCCATTTCAAAACGTATACAATAGATGAAAATGATTAAAATTATGATGAAAGAACCCAAAATCTAATCTTGAGACTTAAGAAAAAACAAAAATCTAATCCTGAAACTTATGGTAAACATTTCATAGCTACGTTACCATGAATTGATTAATAAGTATTCGTTTATTATTCCTTGGGAAGAGAAACATGGAGAGAAAAGACAAACAAGTGTGTGAGAGAGATGAAAAAGAAAGCAAAGTTTGGAACGGGCCCTTAACATGTCCTCTAACGTCAACAATACATCATTCTTCATTACTACTATTATTTTCACCCTCTCATGGAAACTCACTCTTATTACCTAATTCATCAGAACAATATAAAAAAAAAACAAAAGGATCCCTTAACCTTCACCAACATCTCTCTCTCTCTAGACTCAACAAGGTCATATATCATGTCATCTCCTAGTGATAGAGGAAAGAGCATGATGGAATCATCAGGATCAGAGCCACCGGTGACACCAAGCCGTTACGAGTCACAGAAGAGACGCGACTGGAACACTTTCGGACAGTACTTGAAGAACCAGAGACCACCCGTGCCCATGTCTCACTGCAGCTGCAACCACGTGCTTGATTTCCTCAGGTACTTAGATCAGTTCGGTAAGACAAAGGTGCACGTGTTTGGCTGTATGTTCTACGGCCAGCCTGAGCCACCAGCTCCTTGCACGTGCCCTCTCAGACAAGCTTGGGGAAGTCTTGACGCTTTGATCGGACGGCTGAGAGCGGCTTACGAGGAGAACGGTGGATCTCCGGAAACAAACCCTTTCGCTAGTGGAGCAATAAGAGTTTATTTGAGGGAGGTTAGGGAGTGTCAGGCTAAGGCTAGAGGGATTCCTTACAAGAAGAAAAAGAAGAAGAAGCCAACCACGGAGATGATTGGTGGAAGAGATGACTCTTCTTCCTCATCCCCCTCCTTCAACTTCTCTTGAAAGACTTTACGGTAATATATATTTCTCCAGTAACTATGCTTTTATTTGATACAAATATACAAAGATCTTGTTTCTTGATCTTTGTACTAGATATTTATGAAAGTGTGTGTTTCACGAACTAGTAACATATATATATATTAATATTGTAGAATGATCTATGTATCAAACCCTAATTAGATAAGTTGATCGGATTTTGATTTTTGAGAAAGCCCTCATCAGATATAAATATATTTGTATTAATGTTGGGTTCCTGTCAAGGGACGGATTGTGATTAGGTCTTAGGTTTTGAATGGATGTAGAATTGTTTTAGACGACTTATTTTAAATCATTTTAGCTCTTTCACTGAAAATATATTTTGGTTTTAGAAGGATAAGGAGAACAAGTTTTCTAGTTTCTGCAGATTAAATACACTTTTTTGAATCAATGATTCATCAGACTTTGAAAACCTCAATTGGAAAATGCATCACTCATTGTGTGGAAATAAAATATTCTTTAAGTTATCCTAGAGATCAACTCATTCGAGATCTAGTAAACATTTGACTATCCAAAGATGGATTCTTTCTTCATAAACCCCACATACATATCTCCGTGTGTGGAGACAGAGAGAGAAAGAAAGGTGGGGGGGGGGGGTATACACACATTTTTACTACTGTTGTTTATTCAATAAAGTAATGATTGGCTCTTAGAATGCTTCTCTTTAAAGATTTGTGTAGATTTTGTTCCCCATTGATGATCAAGGAAGAAACTGATTGAAACTTTTTCTCTTCATTTTATAACCTAAACAAATCGATTAATAATTGAGATTCCATGATTGTTCTTAAAAGGTTAATAAGGTTATCTACGAATAGAAGTTTATACACATATAATACTTTATTAATCATCATGCTCTTAATTATTGCTATGTGGGTCTTCGGAAAAATTATCTCAATATGAACAATCCAACCAAATCTTCAACATATTCAATCCAATCGAATCCTTGATACAATTAACAATTGTAATTATGATCTCGGAATTTAGAGCCTGGATTTTGAGATATTAGTTAGAGTTTTCATAAAGGCTGTTTTTTTAATTTGGGTCAATCATAAAGGTTGTTTTACTCACGAAGTAGACTAGTAGTTGTGCATTTGTATTTTCTGAGATTATATAATATAATGTATTAGATTTTATGGGACAGTAATTTTCTCTTTGAAATCCACCTGAATCGTTTTTCCCTCTCTATTCGATCTCAGATATAATTTCAACCGTATGTAATATAAACATATAAATATAATCTATATATATATATATATATATACTTTGCTCGAATCATCTTTATGAGTCTTCCTTTAGGATCTTTGTCACCATTAGCTTTGGAAAAGCCTGAAAGTTTGTTTGTCTCCCGCAAAGCTTGATGAATTTTGCTCGATGATACCATATGCTATAACATATGTAATATGTCACTCACGAAACAAAAGTTAAAGAATACATCTTGAATCATTTGGCATAAAAGTATGAGCTTATTCAGATTCAACTCTTTTTTTCTATAGCATAAAGAAGCATGATCTAGCATACTTATAATCTAAAGTTGCATTAATATTAGTCTTTCATGCATCTGAATATCTAGCTAAGCTGCTGATCACATTAAATTCCGACAATTAATTAGTAAATTAATGCTGATATAATTGCGATTGGCAGGATCAAAAACATCTCAGAGATGGATCAAATGTAAAAGAAGCCTCAAATCTACCTACTACTGATGATCAAGAACTCAAAACAGAAATGATATGTGTTCAACATATCTTTCGGTCCATTTTAGCCGATCTTCATCCACCACTTCCGTAGCTATCGATCGGTTATGTATTTTCATCAGCTCTATTCTCTTATTAAGCTCATTCTGAATAAGTGTATAGATTATATATACCTAAGACATGTTTGTTTTGTACGTACTTCTATGTCAGCGTACTTATTTTTCTCAAGTAAGTCCAACATATTGATATTCCAATGGGACAGTGGCGGCATAGCCGGACCGTTGAATTTTTCGTGTCGCATATTATAAAATTGATGGATTTTACAAAAACTATAGTGTGTTAATTTAGATTGTGGTAAAGTTAGAATTCCCCTTAATTTATTTGCAAGGATCCTCAACAACTGAGAACAGACAAATAGCCAATGCAAAGGAGCATAAAGGGTTTTGCGAAGGGATGTAAAATTTAGAAATCATTAGAGGAAGTAATATTTGATTCGACTTTATGTATGAGTATGATGAGTACTCTAGCTCCTATGATAAGAATAAAAGGTTTTGATATGGGCTGTAAAATTTAGAATTCATTCGTGAAGGAATATTCAATAATGTTGTCATATAAAAATCTTCATGGGCCTAATAGGAATAACTTCAAAATAGGGCATAAACTCTCTATCTCAGCTTACACATTTGTTTTCCTATCAATATCATGACCTTATCTGATGAGGTAAGATTCAACTAACCAAATTGATGTTTGGATTCTTTTTTTGTTATGAAACTAAGCCAAAAATTCACAGCAGCACAGTAATCGTTGGAAGCATTCAATGATGGCGTATCAGTAAGGAACCAGAGTCGTTGCATTGCATTAGAGTGAGTCGAGCCCACAACAGGCACGTGAAGTTTCTGAAAACTGCACCGTTACAAAGACGTCGAGGTAATCAATAGATAGATTGATGATGGATTTGAAAGCAAAACGACATGCAAGGCAACGTCGTGAGACTAAGACAGGATGTGTGTACTTTGAAGGGAAAGGACTAGTTAGGGAAACAAAAGCTCCACTTCACTTCACGTCACCACTTATCTACTTCCACGGCACTCTAATTTTCCACCACTTCTTTATTTTTCAATTCTCATTATTTTCTTTTTAAATTAATAGTACTATTTTCTTTCGGCCATTAAATTCAAAACCTGGGCCCAGGCCCGCCATAGCTTCCACTAATTTGTCTACTTTTCAGTCACATTACAAATGAATTGAATACGATATATCCTTTTCATTTCATTTAAATGCAATTTACACATACAGTATTAATTGGAAATGCGTTAATGTTATTAATAATATATTATAATACTATTGGTTAACTAAATATATTTATTTAAAAAGTTCAATCATTTTTTTTTTAATTTGGATGGAAATGTTATAAAATGAAAAAGTAATAAATAAAATATAAGCCTTAATTTGTTATATTTGTAAATACTTGTTGCTTAACTGTTTTGTCTGGTTAACAAGAGCGAACAATTTTACAAAAAAAAAGCAAACAAAATCTTTCTTCTAGTTAATAAGGCATATAGTATTGTTGTGGAATCGTTTATGTAAACTTTCTCATAATTGCAATATCATAATAACTCAACATTATAGAAAAAAATAATAAAAACGAATAATTTTACATAAAAAAAAAACAAAAGAAAACAAAAGCGAACAAAATCTCAAATCGGCAAAATCTCAAATCCCAATAATAAGTTTTCATACAAACAAAAAAAGTTTTCATACAAAATAAGTTAATTTAAATTATTAGCGTTAGGAAATCAATATTGATTCGGTCTTTTGTTAATTTCCGTCAATGATATGATATGTAGGTATTATTATTAGCTGTGAAGTACTTTGGTGTCCTCCAAAGTCTAAAAGAAAAGGTGAGAAAAAGAAAACATTTTTTATCGTTTATTACAAACTGATAATATATGCTACATAATCCCTTATCCATATCTCCTTTTCTAGGATGAAACTTTATAATATATATAGTAATAGTACATCCTCATCTAGTCATCATTTTTTCAGAAGTGTGAATCGTGATCTCTTTCTCCACAAAGAATAATACATCCTTCTTCCCTTTTTCTATATCTAGTGTTTCGTCTTGTAGCAAACGTTTTAAACTTAACAATGTGTTTAAATTCGAATCATATCTGTTGTTAGTTTCTAAAGTAGAATGTATGCTGTTTAGAGAAGTGAAACATTATTCTAATACCAGTTTAGAGCATGGTTATGAAGAAGCACAAAGATGACAAGAAAATAACACCATTGTAACATTGTCAATTTGTTAGCTTATGGTTAAATGTTTTATCAAACTGATATTTTTGATGATTTAATTAAATAACGGCATATCAAATCCATATCTGTAAAAGTTAAATACATGGAAAAGGTCTAGTACAATACAAGTAATTGGGTTGAACTTATTTTCCGTTTTAAGAAAAAAATGTAGATGTGAGAAAAGATAATTGATTCCGTTGAAACTATCGCATACTCATGAATATACTTTTGTGTTTGTATAGGAGCTAATTTCTCAGTATATTTACACCGAAAACGGGTTTAGACCATCTCCAATGGAGGTTCTATCACATTAGAGTTCTAAATCTATATATTTGTGTATATATATATTATATATATGTATGTAATTGTAGGATCTACCAAATAGTGTAGAACCCTCTTCAAAAATTCTAAAAAATTCTACATTTAGAATTTTTGAAGAGGGTTCTACACTATTTGATAGACCCTACAATTACATACATATATATAATATATACATATATAAATATATAGATTTAGAACTCCAATGGGATAGAATCTCCATTGGAGATGGTCTTAATGTTGCTAACGTAGACTTTAAATTACAGAGGACGATGCAAAACCAGTCTAAACCTGGTATCAGCTTGGTTTACAAGGAAGATCAAAAAGTAAAACAATCGGTCAACTAAAGATTACAAATGGAAAGATGTCGATCACTGACCGAGTGATACAAATTCCTTATTTGAGAATATTATTAACGTTTTTAATAAAGTTTTAAAGTTTAGTGGATTACTCAATGAGCATAATCAAGAAAGCAACAGTGAGTAAGTGGCTTGCAACAAAAATTGAATTTCGTTTCCTTCTTTGCTTTACAAAGTGAGAAAAATAAGATTTGTAGGGCACGCATTTTATCTTGCCTACTCATCTTGCCGGTCATGAAAACACATACATACAATAATACACATACTTGTGATTACACTGTAATTTACACATGTGTCGACATATAAACAAGATTAGATTGTATGTACTACAAAAGTCAAAGCAAAACAGTATCTTTAAAATTGGAGTATAAAGAGTTTTGACACCTTTTTTATTTGTTAAAAGAGTTTTGAAATTATTTGTGATCCGCTATATTTTTTTTTTTGAAAAAAGTAATTTTTTTTTAAAAAAAGTTATCCGCTATATTTTTCCGGATCAAAATTTGCTTCACTGCTCTATAGATATTTG